TAGATGGGTGTTTTTTTTTTGATGATGATCATGTTACACGATATTCGGAATCTTTCGTGTGTGACATGATGAGGCCTAGGGTCCCGGGTCACGTGGATTTCACGATCATCCGATTTCACCATCATCCGCGACAATATTTAATATAAGTTTACTAATACAATAGTATAAAATTTATTATATCAAATTTTATAGCACGTGGGTACTAGAAGATGATCTATTAGCTAGTTGACTTATTAAATTTCACTGAACCTCATTGGAACTTCAATCCAGTGGTAAAAAAAAATATATAACTGGAAGGTCTAGTAACAACTTACCACTGGAACCTAAATATCATCCAGTTTCATCCAGTTAGTTCCAGGTCTAGCAACAACACTGATGTAGAGCATATCTAAAAGTAAGATTCGAAGCCGTATAAGTGTAAATACACTCAATATGCTTTTAATGATTTCCCTGATAATATAAATTTGTTTGATTGAAATCTCATACATATTGTTTTTTAGAAAGACAGCAAGCAAGATGTATTAATTAATTCTTTAGTATACGTACATATTAAGTATATACATTTATTCAAACACAATTTAGAACATGCACGTGATCTATTTTGTGCGTATTGTTTTTTTGACAACGAATTTTTACTGATGTACATATTGTATTAGCGTTAGAATGTGTAATAACAATATTATGTGAACTATATACATTGAATAAATGATTATGATCTTAAACTATGCATTTAAAACTTTATTGAAATTATACTGTATATATATATTGATTAGGCTGTCCAGAATTATGCAATTATAAATTTTGTATTAGGACTTTTTAAAGACCCAAGGACCCTAAATTTGGACTTGGTCTTTAAGGACCAGTCCTAAAGTCCCGGACCTAAGGACTTTACCAACCCTAGTTGGGCAACCCGCCGAATCCAACATAAAGTCCCAATTCACGTTCCATGAATCGAAGCATGTAATAATCCACATGATCTGGTTTATCATCGTTCGCCTCATCTATCTCGTTTGGTGATGGTGCAGTTGAAACTGAACTTGCCTGTCCTGCAGCTGCTGTGTTAGAGCTTTCCACTGGCGTTTCAGCGACTTCTGCGAAATCCGTAAGGTCAAGGTCCATTTCGTTCCTTGCAACCTGAGCCGCAGTAACATCAGTATCATCCTCAACTTCTGCGAGGCATTGCTCCAGCTCCACACCGGAGGTTGGTTCATCATTCATCTCTCTAATACGATGTGGTGCTATATCGCTAACAAGTTCACGCCAATCCAACTTTTGGAAATAGTCAGTTGTAAATTCACCATCTGTAATCACCATTTTATCTAGTAATCGTTTTTGATTGGCCTTTTGCAGCATGTTTTCTTCGATCGTATATTCACTGACAAATCGATATATGTTTACTTCACGGGTTTGACCAATACGGTGACACCTACAAATTAAAAGCAATGTACATATAACTATTTAGTGCAAATACGATAGAATAAATAGAACACGCATATATATATATAAAATACCTGTCCTGACACTGCCGATCCATACACGGATTCCAATCAGAATCATAAAAAATAACGGTGTCTGCTCCAGTTAAATTAATGCCTAACAAAGAATAAATACAAAAATTAAGGATAAATTATGTACAAATGAGTGAATTAGTAATTTATTGAATTAAATAAACTTGTTACCTAAACCGCCAGATCTAGTTGAAAGTATAAAGACTAATATCTTTGGATCATGATTAAAACGTTCCGTTAATATTTGTCGTTGTTCAATTTTTGTAGCACCATCAAGCCGAAGATAACGATGTCCGTGGATATTTAAAAATATTTCTAAAATATCAAGAACACGAGTCATTTGTGTAAATATAAGAGCGCGATGACCTTTTTCCTTAAGGTCTCGAAGCAGCCGATCCAACTCTTGTAGTTTTCCACAATCGTATTGTAGCAGTCGCTTGTCAGGAAAGGCAATCTGAAGCTTAACGCGTATTGGATGATATATGTCTTGCACCTGCTCGTGAATCATCATGCGTAACTCATCCGGTAATCCTGCTAATGTCAACGAAGCCATATCTCTCGCAACCACAGCAGGAGTTACAAACGCATACTGTTTAATCACTTCTTCCATCATGCTATATCTACGTTCATTGGACACAATAAGATCCGTAATTGATTCAATGCGATTCATGTAAGTACGAGGATTCTTAGTATCAGCCAATAGCATGTCACATTTAGTTGAGCCTAGTCGTCGACATAAGTTTATAAGGCCTGTTCCATATATAGGACGGCGCCTGAGCCGAAACCCGTTAATATATCGCAAGTGATCCCATCGCTGTCGAGTTTTAAGACGAGTATGATGCTCCATCGCACGTCCAAACTCAGCAAGGCTACAGTAAGTCATGGGCTTTTGAAAGGTTAAATTTCTATTTTCTATAATTTTATCTAAGAATTTTTTATCAGGATTCAAAATTTCCCATTCATTTGCGATTAACCGATCAAGATTATTCTCAAAATGACTCGGAATAAAGTTCATAAAATCTAGATTTAATTTTTTAAACGCGTCACTATCTTGCAATAATCTTCGACGGACCAAAAATTCCTTGACTTCATAATCTGCAATCGCTGATTTGGACATAGCAAACGACGTACGAATAGGTCGCACCTCGAACAAATCTGGATGATTACAGACTTTACGCAATTGCATTAGGCAATTTATGATACTAAGAAAATTGCCTGATTGAAGAGTTTCTTTGGTTTTTGCACGAGACATAAAGTCGTCATACAAAAAACGTTGTCGTTTAGAAAGTCTACATTTAATGATGTGATGATGTTTTGCCGGAAGTTGCTTTTCTACATCAATTTTCAAACGACGCAATAGATATGGCCGTAAAACTGTATGCAATTTTTGAACCGCAGCGAGAGTTTCATCATCAAATTGTTCATTATTCTCGATAATTCTATCGACAGGACGCGAAAACCATTCCTGAAACTCTTTTTGGTTAGCAAAGCCAAGAGGCATATCCCCTGAAACCCCATTCGGCATCAGGAAATACAATAAAGACCATAATTCCATAAGATTGTTTTGTAATGGCGTACCAGTGAGCAATAATCTTCTTTCTGAATTAAAATTCAATAAAGTTTTCCAACGTTGTGATTGGAAATTTTTGATATTATGCGCTTCATCGAGAATTAGATAATGCCATTTCTTTTTTTTGAATACAACCTGATCTAGCACGACGAGATGGTATGATGTAATGCAAACGTGGAAACTATGCTCTCTCATCCAACCAATACGCTTTTCTCTACGTTCTTTTGGACTGCCATAGTATGTCAAAATTATAAATCCCGGACACCATTTCTTAAACTCCATTTCCCAATTGATGATGACGCTCGTAGGTACTACAATTAAGTGGGGACCCCAATCTCCTTTTTCATAAGCCAAATGTGCTAATAATGCAATTGTCTGAATAGTTTTACCGAGACCCATTTCATCAGCAAGAATACCGTTCAAACCGTTGTTATATAAACTGGCAAGCCAATCAAGACCAACGTGTTGATATTCACGCAGTTGTCCCCGTAACAATGGCGGGATTTGTGTTCTTACATTGGCAGTAGATAGCGTGGTCCCCGTAGGAGGTTCTGATAAGGCATTAGAAATTTCTGATTCTTTTTGTTTAGAACTCATTTGTTCTTCGCTTCCTCGGTTTTCATATTCAGAAAAATCATCAGATATTGTATTATTAGGCTTTTCCTTAACAGAGTTTTCTATTTCTTCTATTAACGATCTCAAAGTTTCTTCTTCGGAATCCTCCTCGAGGTCTTGTGCATCTAGTGAAGACTCGTCATCTTCGTTAGATTGGTCAATATCATCTACTTCAGTAGATGAGGTCGATATTTGACTATAATATTCGGTTATATTTAAATCAGATTCTGAATCCTCCATATCAAGGTTCTCTGTCTCATTGTAATTCTCATCGTCATCGCCAGTAATACGAACATGCGTCGACTGCATACCTACTAATTCATTGTGTTGAACCTCCAACATGTGGGTAGAATGTTCTAGAAGAAGATTTAGGTGTCGTTTCCCTTCACGCTCTTGTTGTTCACGAAGTAACTCCTTATGCTTTGTTAAAATAATCTAAAGTCGAGCATTAAATAAAAATACAAATGGAGTACTGTTAATTAAGTTGGTTCGATTTAGATTTTTCAATTTAAACTAAACAAATTAACTTTACAATCATAAATAAATATACACATGAAATGATGAACTAACCGATTCAACTGTCTTCCACTTTTGTTTGACAAGATTTGACGTTGTTTTGGCCAACTTTCTGATTCGTTTTTCCTCCAACTTCTTTTCCCTCGGCCCTTGATTTGCTAATTTATTGAAATGTTGTAACACCGCCTTGCTTATTTGACGTGTGGTGCGGAACTTTGTTTCAGTACCCTTATTGAAGTATTTTGCATGGTGCGTAACCGCCTCAAGTAGATAGTCTCTATGAACCTTTGGGCGTTGAGGTTCAGGTGCAGGTTTATCCACTCTGTTGAGTCTCCCCTCGCTTTTCAATACCATTATACGGTATTGAATCTCTGCTTCTTTTTGCGCCCTTAACTCTTCTTCAGCAGGCGTCATATCTTCATCATCTAAGGTTACAAAAGATGCATAGTAATCTTCAAAGCTAGGAAATTGCGAATGACGTCGACGAAGCGAATACGATGACATCCCATTAGTCAAAGTCGCACCCCGATTTTTGGACGAATCTACCCGTGAAGACCTGCGGGTACTGCGGCTACTGTTGCCTGGTTCCAGGGATGTTGAATCAAATTGATTGTTAACAGATTTTTGCAACAAGTTGACAATTGATTCGCGATGTTTGGTAAGTGAATGGCGAGTGGACATCCGCGTGGAATTTGATTGGATGCTGTTGACAACTTGATCGTTTATGGTGGACCACAAGTTGTGACTTTCCAAATACTATGTTTTGTTTTAGTGCGCAACAGCCCAAACGGTACCCAGAAGCAAATTATTTAAATAAAATAGATTGGGCATCAGTACAGTAATGATAAAGCATGTTTGTTTTTTGTTTTTTTCTATGACAATATACATGCTGAACAAAAACTAGGTGGTTGCCTTCACAGCCCCTTATAAATTGGTTTTAACCTCGTTCGAATCAAGGTAACGGCACGAGAAAATCGTACCTTAACCATACGCTCGGAGTTGTCCTGTTTTATTTTCTGCGGATCGAGATTACACAATAGCATATTGAATGATTCCATATAATATAATTCTCGGACCAAGGAATCATGTTCGTCCACCACTTGAGCGAGTTGTGCTTCTTTTTCTTTTATTTTCGCTTCACGAAGCTCGTCTAGAGGTGTCTTGATCATTCTGGTAACTTTGGTGGAAGGAGCTTGTGGTAATGAATCTTTATCGTTAGACATAGTTTTTGGTCTCTTCCGAGGGGAAGTAAAGTCTTTATCGTTGGAATTTTTAACACCCTTATTTTTTGATTCAATATGCGATAACCCGTTTTTACTTTTCCCACTAACCTTCCTTTTTTTTATCGCTCTGCCGACCAGGTGCGTCGTTATTTGGAGAATTAGAAGAGTGAAGAATTGAAGGTAATGGATTTTTACGAGGTCGCCCTGGTCCTCTTTTCACAAGGGTATTGGAAGAAGAATTACTTAGGCCGTTCGAAGTTAATTTTTCGGTTAACATCACCCCTCCCCCCTCCCCTTTGGCGTTCCCCGGTAAAATGAACATATGAAAAAAGTAAAAATTTAAAAAATACCGTATAACCACGAAATACAGTCATACCTATTTATAATCACCTCCTATATAATCACGCTATATAAAAACTTTTTATAATCACCCCTATATCTAAGCCACAAAAGACCTCTATATAAGCACACCTCTTTACAAGACCATTTTTTAAAAAAGTTCCTATGGTCCCAAAAGTGTGATTATAAAGAGGTATGACTGTAACGCGATGTGGTGTGGTTTCGAATTTCGGCCTAAATTAAGCTTAAATTCAGGTCGAAATTCGAAATAACTCCCTTCGAGTTTATACGGTAAATATAGAATAAAAAATAATTAAATAATTTAAAATAGACTATTGCTATTTGTACACACATATACAGTATTAATATCTCAAAATCCTGATTATATAATAGCTTTTGGGGTTCTAACAAAAAATATTTCTTGCAAAATTTTAGTAAACTATAACTTTATCTAACCCTCAAGCTACTCTCACCCTAATTTTAAGCTATACTAATTTTTCATTTACAATTTATATATTAAGCAAATTTGTAAATCAATAAATTGGTATGTGTATACACCTGGTATAAATTAAAAAAAATTTTTTTAAAATAAAATAAAATAAAATAATATAAAATAAAATAAAACTAGACTAGTCAGTGCTCCATGCACTTTGTATCTCCCTATTATAAAATTACTAATATCTTAAAATTTTACTAGAGTAACCTGTTTTGCAACTAAGCAAAAATGTTTCTCTTACAATTTTACACTACTTTAAATCTAAATTCTAACTCTAACCTAACTCTATTTAACCTAACTCTAATCTAACCCTAATATAATCCTAACTTAAAATTATAAAATTGTTAATATTTTAAAATTTTACTAAGGTAAGAAAGCTAACAATTATTAGATAATTTTCTAGGAGAGGGGTCAAAAAATTGAAATTTTATATATAAGACCTGATCAATTATATATTAAAAACTAGAGAAAAGAGTAAGCCTCTAATAAAAAAAAATCAGGTGATAAATAATATTGCTCTAATTCTTTGTTGTATAACTAAGCAAAAATGTTTTTCTTGCAATTTTACACAATTTTGTTAACTTTAATTTTTATTATAAACTAAATTTTTCAAAAAAAAAAACTCTTTTTGATGATCACTTGGACCAAAATTTCCAATAAAATAAAAATTTATTTTCTATACTGGAGCGCAGTAATAACCTGTAGTGAGGTGAATTAACAGAGCAGTTTTTATAAAGATCAATCTTCTCTTTTTCTTTGAAGACTCCTTTATATATTTGGCATACAAGCCAAAAGCATTGGTATACAGTAGTGTTCCTATGAACCTAAACTGAACTGAACTTTGGTCAAGTTCAGATTCAGGTTCAGTTCAATCAGGTTTAGTATTGAACTTTTAAGTCAAGTTCATGTTCAGTTCAGGTTTAGTATTGAATCTTTAAGTCAGGTTCATGTTCAGTTCAGGTTCAGTATTGAACTTTTAAGTCAGGTTCATGTTCAGTTTAGGTTCAGTG